GGGGGGGTGTAGTTGTAATGCCCGCCGTACTGGGTATACAAAATAGTCACAATCGATCACAAAGAAAAGATTTGATCACGGGATGGCGTTCTAGAGATTCTTCAGCCTTCAGTGGTAGGCCTACCGAGTTTGAATATTACACTGTATTATGTTGTGGTCTTACCTCTAATCTTCCTTACTTATGACCTTATTGTATTGAAAGTGTTGTAAAACCAAACTTAACCTCACACAATATTGTCGGTGTTCATTATCCGTCGAGCAACAGATCCTGGGGAACTGGACCATGGTTTTACTGTTTGCTGTTACCGCAAGGCTTATCTTATAGCGTGCAGTTTGTTTTGTGGCAGATGAGATTAGGAGTCCACAGGCTAATCTTTTAATGTAAGGAATGCCCGCCAGCTTGTGCGGGCTGTTGGCGGGTGCTCTTGTGCAGTTAACCCCCATCCCCCTCGTCCAATTCTTATTGTTAGTGTATAATAATAATAATAATAATAATAATAATAATAAATAGCATTTACGCTGCACATTTCCATTTTCTAAAAAAGGGCTAAATGCAGATTACATTCATAAAGATATCACACGTATTTATTCTGTTGATTAATATGTTGACGACGTTTTTCTTTAATTTGTAGGATTTCAGACGACGGACGACTTGGTTGAAAAAATGATTTGCCGAGTGTCAGAGATTTCCCTTTACTGTGCTGCATCGATGGATCTTTGACGCCAGTTCTCTCTCCTTCACGAGGATTTAAAGAGGAAAAACCTTCCCCAAACATGCCTCAGTTGAGACGTTTCGAGTTACGGAAGTCGGTGTCCCCGTACATTTGCTCGACACCGAACGACTTTGTAGAGGAACGAAACTTTCTCTCCGACACCATCTTCCCTCAGCTGGACGAATTATGCAAATTGCGGGGGTCGTATTTCGACCCTGTGGACTTGCGATGGACTCCGGGTGACCAAAAGACGCAAGGCGGACTTCTGGTGAAGACCCAGTTGGACGCCATTAAACGATCTTCTCCGTTCTTCATCGGGATCTTGGGGGAGACGTACGGCCCCCACAGGGCGGAGACTGATCCGCCCCTGTCCAAGTCCCGAGGTGCGCTGTGCTTGAAGCAAGGGAAGTCGAGTCTCAGCTGGCTGGACAAAAACCTGCTTCTGGCGGGGACGGGCGGTCATTCCTGGGTGCTGCAGGAAGGTAGGAATGCGCTTTTGTATGGGTTATTTGTGTGTTTTGTGGATTTTTTGGAGTGTGATTTTGTGTTTTCTGTTTGTATTTATTTTATTGTGTGTTTTTTTTGGGGTGTGTGTGTGTGTGTG